CCTCCCCTACTATAATATAAAGTGATACTATAAAGGTAGTATCGTTGCGCTTGTCTTAGCGCTGAGACACTACCGTTTCTCTTTCGAAAAGTTAAAAATTATTTTACCTATAAAGAGTAATTTCACTCCTTAAAGTAGTCCCTAGTTTTCTGTATATATATATATACTAACTAATATTTTATAAATTTATCTATTTACATAATCTACATCTGTATACAAAGTTTTATTAAAATCATACAAAGATTTATAAAATCAGAATTTTATACTTCGCGTTTCTCTCATAAGTGTACTTTTACTTGAAACTTTTTTAGACATATTTATTACGGAATCTACAATATAGTTTTGTACGGTTATTGCCTCTACTACAAAAGGACTCGATGAGAAATATCTTTTCTTCAATGATTAATGCATTCATGCTGACACTCATAATCTTAGTTATAGATACAACATTTAAATAAAATTGACAAGTTTCTCCTACGAAATAAAATTTATTTATTTTGTTCGGCCTACTTGTCGTAAAGCAATTATGCGGTTTAGTTTAGACACAATTTTAACGATCACCCGGCATTAGAGAGCAATATGAAATTATTTATAAAAACTCAAAAAGTGTATGATTGTGCCGCTCACATAGCGCTTTCGTTGTCCGTTTGAAATATGCAGCTAGCAACGCTAGCGTATTTTTTTCACACGTTTCTAAGGGCTGAAATATTTTTTTATTTTTCATAAAGGGAAATATTTTTTAGGCTTTTATGGGTGTTTTTTTTAGAGGTGCCAAAAGATTTATGGATTATCGTGATCAATTGTTAATGCCAACGTTTCATAAATCTTACTGTTCAATTTATTAATACGGATCACGACATGGCGATAACCCGTAAACTCTTTGGTACATAAAGGAAAATAAAACGCAATTTATATAAGGACAAATTTGTTAATGTTTCTAATAGGAATTACCTTACAGAAGCAGAATCAGAAGTAAGAACACGCTTTTGAAATGCGATTTGTTGTAATAAATGTCTTTTGTACCTATATTAAAAATCTTAAGCTCTAGTTTGATATTTCTTTTTTTTTTTTCAAAAAAATTAACATTATAAAAATTTTGAAGTCATTAGATTAATCACTTGGTAGAATAATAGATTTCAGAAAAAAGAAGAAAGAAATAAAGTATTACAACATATCAGAACTAATAAATTTTTTTTATGCATATAAGCGGTATAAATATCTCAAAATTGTATAGACTCTAATGATATAGATCAATAATCAATAAAAAGCTTAATAAAAACCTCTGACAAGGAAAAGCTCGAACGTTCGGAATATAGAAAAATTTGAAACTTATGGTACGTGAGTGTATCACCCAGACTTTGGTCAAGCAGTTAGATGCGCTTCTTAGTCATTGTCGAGAAAATCGACTTTGAAAAATTCCGAGCGAGGTATGTATTCTGAACGTTGAGCAAGTTTGAACGAGTCCCGTGGCGCAACGGGTAGTGCTCTTGTCTAGAGATCCTATAAGCAGAGTTTGACGAAAGCGGGCACAACTTCTGATTGGTTCTCCACCTGGTCCACTATTCTTCGGATAGCTTCGTACATTGTCGGAAAACGAGTGCGAAGAAAAGAAAGAGATAGCTACAAGCAGATGAGTAAAACCTGTGTTAAAGAGGTTAGAAATCATTCCGAGATCTCGGACAAAAAGAAAATTAACAAATTACAATTGCACAATTCGGCCAATTGATCAATTCAATTGGTTTCTTCAGGTATTGTCGTCACGTATTGCCTGTCACGTATTCTAACACTTTGTGCATGCGTTCATACGAGAAAGTAATATCTGTTATCTCTTTCTATCCGCCATGTTTGGTCCACATTCGCCAAACTCTGATTATAGGATCTCTAGTAACCGCTGGATTGCTGTTCGAGTCTCTGCCGGCACTTTCTTTCTCCCCCCTTTTTTAAATTTTAATATTTGTTATTTCTATGTAAAATCAATCAAATTTATAGTAATCACCGGATATTTAATATAAATCTTTTATGAAAAACGCACATTTTATTTATAACGTAATAGAAACATGTGATAAATAAAATTCAATACAACGAGGGCGGACAAACACTAAACACGGTTTTTTTACGTTAGGGTTTTTTTATGTGCTCTCGTTACGTTAATTTCATTTTTGCTTAATTTTATAATTTAACTTGAAATTTTTATGTGTGAGTTTTTTAACCAGAGACTGCAAAATATCTGGAAAAATAAGCATTGTACGAAAAAATGTTTCAAATAAACTCTCAATATTTTTGAGGGAGCAATTCTATCCCGCAAAAGTTAGCCGCCTCCCGCTCCCCCTTGGGGGTGGAGCTTGGGATAACTTTGAAATCTTAAATGAGAACCCCTATTTTTTATTGCAGATTCTACGTCCAAAAACACGTCAATTTTGTCTACATCTTTTTTTCGATTCCTGATAGATGGCACTGTATTCGGCGAAAATTGGTTAACTTTCGTCTTCTTCAAGGGGAATCCCCATGTTTTATTGTACAATGATATTACATTGAAGAAAGTAACTTTTGTCTAAAACATGTTTTTCGAATTGTCGTAGATGTGTACAATAATTTTTTATTCGATCTTAGTTTTACCCGATCTTAGTTTTACCCAGGGTTAACAACGTAACAATACAATCATTCGACGTACAATCATTCAAAGTGCGGATCAATAAATGCATCGAAATTGAAGGTCATCAGTTCGAGCACTTATTGAATTGAATGGTAAAAGGCAAGAGAACTCACTGAAAACAAGCACCCCGAATGTGAGAGGCAAGGGGACTCACAATAAACAAGCATCCCGAATGTGAGAGGCAAGGGGACTCACAATAAACAAGCATCCCAAATGTGAGAGGTAAGGGGACTCGCAATAAACAAGCACCTCGAAGAGATTATAATTTCCGTCACGTCCAAGTCGTTAATCCTGGGTAAAGCTAAGAACAGATAAAAAATTATCGTAGACATCTACGGTAATCCGAAAAATATGTTTTCAGACAAAAGTTGCTTTCTTAACGTAGCATCATTGTGCAATAAAATATGGGGATTCCCCTTGAAGAAGACGAAGGTTAACCAATTTTCACCGAATACAGCGCCATCTATCAGGAATCGAAAAAAAAGGTTTAGACAAAATTGATGTGTTTTTGGACGTAGAATTCGAATCTGCAATAAAAAGTAGGGGTTCCCACTTAAGATTTCAAAGTTACCCTCAGCCCTACCCCCAGGGGGGAGCGGGAGACGGCTAACTTTTGCGAGATAGAATTGCTCCCTTAAAAATATTGAGGGTTTATTTGGAACATTTTTTCGTACAATGCTTATTTTTCCAGATATTTTGCAGTCTCTGGTTAAAAAACTCACCCAGTATTTTTGAATGTAATCAGGAACTCGTTGAAACTTGCTCAATGTTCAGTGTATAGTTCATATTTTGCTTGGAATTTTTTAAAGTCGATTTTCTCGACAATGGCTGAGAAGCGCATTGTGTACTGCTTGGTCAAAGTAATGTTTGAGTGATGCACTTCACGTACCACAAGTTTCAAATTTTTCTAAATTCCGAACGTCTGCGCTTCTCCTTGTGAGAGCCGATGCAAGTTATTGTTGCGAATAAGATCTTATTATTATCTGATACAAATATTAGTACATACGTTTCGACTCACGTTTAGGATTCTCTTCAGTAATATAAATATATTTATATATCGGATGAATATGTTTTCAATACTATATTTAATATTATATTTCAACAGTGCAGCGCAGTAATATTGACTAGTAGCACTTCGAGTAGACCGGATTTGTATTAATTGTCACTTCTGGTCTTTTCATTGTTAGAAAATTTTTAATTAATTTATGAATTATCTATAAACTAAGTTTGTACATAACACTTGTGCGTTCTGGTAACCAATTCATGTCTTATAACAAGCAAGATTAAGCCTGTAAACATAATAGGCGTAGTAAGCCTCAAGCTTTAAGAAATTGATCAATTACAGTTAAATGAGAAGAATAATCGACTAATTAATCAATTTCTGAAGCTTTATGGCTTACTATACCTATTGTGTTAGGGGTGGAGGGGGGGGGGAGGATCATGTATACTCCATATAACAAATACGAGAAAGACTTTTTGAGAAAAGCAATTCAAATTTAATATATCATAATAATTTTTTTCCGTTTATTTATAATAGGTCTCAGTGGTTTAACTACGACATCAGTACAGGGTAGTATCGTACACGGTACGCCAGCACAGCCACCGGCCACACCTTTAGATTTGAGTCCACTTAGGCATCATAGATCACCTGCGACTACTCCTGTGAGTTACTCTCCCAGCAATAGTCCAGCATTGGATATGATACAAGAAGAACATCCTGTAGAAATATCAAGGGTATGTAACATTCTCTGTTATATTTTTAAAAATTCTTGAAAAGTCGGTGGTTGCAAAATATATAATGTTTTACATAAAAATTCTAATATAAAATATTAATGTTGATCTGTGCTTTGTGAATTTTTGTTTACAGAATTGGATATGTATATAGATTTACATTGAAATATTTAAGCACTAAGATTTGCTTTGACTGAAAATAGAATTATTTCTCTTAATTGATTTTAATATAAAACATAAAATCTCATAAACCATTCACAGTTGGTAATCTTACCCTAATACAGTGATCGGATTTAATTGCAACTTGGCCTAATTTTCATATTGATGCCCTCTGACAGTTGCAAAAAACCCACGAAGCACACTTTATTCAAGGGATGTCCTAGAGATATCATTTTGAGATTTCGCATTAATCTCACATCGGGGATAGTCTCGGACATCTGGTGGGCATCCAGCAGATACACTAATGTCCGCCACAATGTTATCCTACGGATATTTTAGACGAAGTCCAGAGGATATCCAAGAACTCCAGAAATATTGTAAGATATATAATGCTTGAGATGTGACATATACGTCCTAAATAATTATTATTGTGTATTATACTATTAGACGCATGATTCACGCGAATGTACATTCATATAGAAGTATAAATATTTGAAGACATGGTAGTGGCTCGATGCTGAGACAAGCGCAACGACATTGTAGGGCGAGACCAGCCGTATTAAAGATTCCTTTATTATGCAAGCCGACAAGTTGCGAGAGATCGAGATTATCGAATCTCAATAACGGCTAAGCTGATCAAGTTTTATGTATGCTCAATGAGTATAGAAAACGCGGAGGAATTGAACGAGGGCATATATGTCTCATATGCTTGTATACACATATACGCGAAAAATACTATCGGTAATTATTTATTGATAAAAAATATATATACCAATACATACCAATCGACGCGTTTTTTGTGAAACGAATAAATCTAGCAAAAAAAATCTCATTCGGTTATATTAAATAAGTTATTAAATGTTTAAGATTAGTATGTGTAAGATTAAAACATCTGTCATATCACAAGGAATCGAGCCCGTTTGTCATATTAATATAATTTCTAATTAATAAAAAACACTGAAGAGTTAAATATTACATTACATTGTGATAAAAAAGAATGAAAGTTTATTATTAATATATGGTATGACTTCCCTTTTAATGCATGATATGCCTTACCTTGCGTAAGGTTTATAACTAAGATTTTTCAGTGAAGTTTTCTTGATTACTTCATGATTTTATTGATAACATTAGATTCATTTGACGTGTTTTTGCATGAAACGACCGAATCTGATAAAAAAACTGCTGCTTTGTCCTGTGAGCCGAGATATTAATCGTTAAAGTTTACAAATCAAGTTAGGAAATCTGTCACAGCCACACTGCGATGAGAGAATGCGCTGCGGTCACATTGGCTGCGTTCAGCAGAGAAAGCACCTTTGCAACTGTTGTAAAATTTTTCATTATGATTGGATTATATATGTAGATCCATAAGGAACCAAAATCGTATTAAAGAATTTTATAACAATTGCAAAGCTGCTTTCTCTGCTGAACGCAGTCATTTTCATATTGTACGCAGACATACTCATGTGTTTTAGGTGCATGTCATTGTAATAGGGAGAAAGGGTATAGCGGAATAAGTATGTGAAATCTACCCTTGTATCACTTTGTGGGAGTTATGGAGGGGAAAAGTGAAATAAAAAAAGTGTTTTTCTCGAAAACGGCCGGGCCAATTTTAATGAAAAAAATATTGTAGACATCGAAGAGGTAACTTCAATAAAACTTTTTTGTGATTTTTGTGACGAATAGAAAATCGGTGAAAAAATTTTTGAATTTTTTATGAATTTTTTTTGATGATATATTTTAGTGATCACCTTCGTATTTTCACGAAAACATTTCGGGATTCTATACTTTAACATATAATTTTTTCAAATCGATCGAAGTGATGGAACATAGTTAAAAATAACAATCATTCGCGTAACGCCGCGCTATGCCACGCTGGTCGCAGTTGCGGCGCGCTGCGGTGCATGGCGGTCGTTGCCGTGGAACTTAACATTATATCGATTTTTGCTTGATCATCAACTGTTATAGATTTCGAAATATTCGTCGTTGTTTTGACTCACCTCTATTTCAATTCATCTAGGTCTTTCCTACTAAAGTCGAATTGAGCATAGTAAAAGAAAGGTGAAATATTTGATACGAAAAGTGACATTTAAATTCAGATATAATTCAAATATAATGAGATATATTCAATTTCATCAATTTTCTAATGAATTCATTTATTGGTAGCAATAATCCAGTTTTGTAAGTCGTAACCAGTATAGTATATTGGTACGTCTCACATACTTATAATTTTTATGTAATAATATGTAATAATACTTAAAATCTTAACATGGAATTTAATTTCGGCTTTAATATTGTTTATTTCAAGTGAGATGAATGAAAACTGTAAAAACTGTAACATATTTTTGAAGAAAGCTATTGGCAGAAAGAAAATTATAAATAATCTTGATATAATTCATATTTTTTTTACTCATCAAGAGTATGTATAATTTTCTTTCTGCTAATGGCTTTCTTCAAAAACATGTTACAGTTTTTGCATTTTTTATTCCTCTTACTTGGAATAGACATCTCTGTATTAAAGCCGAGATTAAATTCAATGTCAAGATTTTAGATATTATTACATATTATTACATAAAAATTATAAGTATAATATGTACCAATATACTGGTTATGGCTTACAAAACTGGATTACTGCTATTGATAAATGAATTTATTAGGAAATTGATAAAATTGAATATATCTCACTATGTATCTGAAATCTATCCTTGCACCACTTTGTGGGAGTTATGGAGGGAAAAAGCGAAATAAAAAAGTGGCTTTTCTCGAAAACGGCCGGACCAATTTTTATGAAAAAAATATACGTTGTAAACAATCGGCTTATATCTGAATTTGGATGTCACTTTTCGTATCAAATATTTCAACTTTCTTTTACCATGCTATCTCAATTCGACTTTAGCAGGAAAGACCTAGGTGACATGAAATAGAGGTGAAATTGAAACAACGACGAATATTTCGAAATTTATAACAGTCGATGATCGGGCAAATATCGATATAATGGTTAATATGTAAGTTCTACGGTAATGACCATGCGCCGCAGCGCGCCGTGACCGCTATCGTCCAACCAGCGCAACGTAGCGCGGCGTTACGCGAATGATTGTTATTTTTAACTATGTTTCATCATTTCGATCGATTTGAAACAATTATATGTTTAAGTAGAGAACCCCGAAATGTTTTCGTAAAAATATGAAGGTGGTCACTAAAATATATCATAAAAAAAATTCATAAAAAATTCAAAAATTCTTTTACCGGTTTTCTATTCCTCATAGAAATCACAAACAATTTTATTGAAGTTACCTCGTATACAACGTATTTTTTTTTTTTTTATTAAAATTGGTCCGGCCGTTTTTGCGAAAAAATCCACTTTTTTTATTTCGCTTTCCTCCTCCAACAAAAATGCAATTTCAAGGTTAATTTTTGAAAAAGTTTTACGTCTCATGAGTCAACTACTGACACCAATTTGAGCTCAATTGGTGCGTGAGCAGATTTCATATGCTTATTCTGTTATATCCTTTGGACCAGAACTGGAATTTAGTTGCACATTTCAGCTCGATTTCGTTGGCGACGCCCACTGTTCCTCTCTTGCCGCGCATTGCCTAACAACGAATCGTCGGATGCTTGTAAACAACGCGCGTACCGCTTCATCTCAGGAGCATTCCTATTAACTATACTGTACGAATAGAACTGATGAATCTCCCTCAACTTAAATAATGAATTATGGTAAAACTTTCTTTTTAGAATAATTTTAAATTAATAATTGAAAAAATATTTTTATTATTAATTATTAATAGTAATAATAATATAGTATTTTTATTATTAATATACAAAAAGGACGGGGCGTTATACTGTAGGCGCACGTTACACTGTTAATATTAATAATAAAAATATTTTCAATTATTAATTTAAAATTATTCTAAAAAAAAAGTTTTAATTCATTATTTAAGTTGAGGAAGATTCATCAGTTCCATTCGTATAGTATAGTTGATAGTAGGAACGCTCCTGAGATGAAGCGGTACGCGCGTTGTTTACAAGCATCCAACGATTCGTTGTTAGGCAATGCGCGGCAAAAGGGAAATAGTGGGTGTCGCCAACGAAATCGAGCCGAAATGTGCAACTAAATCCCAGCTCTGCTTTGGACTCAACATGCGTGTTTCCCTAGGTTGAGGGAAGGGAGTGAGAGAGAGGGGGGAGGGAAGGGGCGGGGGAACGGGCGGAATCCACCGTAATCACAAAATATATAGCCTATATAAAGTTATCCCCCCACTTTTAGAATTGACGTATTTTGAAAATTGGGCTGAATTGTGCTAGGTTTGTGCTACATTGTGCCCGAATATTAATATCGTAAGTTGTCGCGAGAACAATTATTGCTTAAATTAATTTACCATTGTTATAATATCATTATACATGTTCAGAATCACTAGCTGTGTTCTCCATACGGTCGAACAGCTGTCTGTGAGCAATTTTTGTACGCCCTGGAAATTATTCATGTGGAATTTTTAACATTCTTCGGTAAAACCAATGGATACTAACTTTACTGCGTTTTCGTGCGTTTTATATTATAACTATTGTACACCTGAAGAAGGCTCAATCCTGCAGCCGAAACATGTTATGCGAACTGATATCATTAGTTATTCATCCGTAAGAACATGTATAAATTTTTAATTTTGTGTAATTATATGGTCGTAAGTAATATATTAGTTAATTTTTATAAAAAGCTTTTATATCTTGACTCTCATTCGTTTTTTAGACTTTCTATTTGTTATTATTTTATATTGAGAATCTTGTATTTTTATTAATTTATTAATATCGTAATATGAAAAATACGTAAAAAAATAAAAAAAAAAGATTTTTTGTCAGTCCCACTTTGCATTTTTTCTCAATTTTTAATTTGTGGTAGGTTGTGCTAACATTGTATTAAAGTATTACTTCCAAATAACAATAACAATAGAAGGTATGACAAAAATAATTTTTGACAAATCTGAATACAACTACCTAGATAATAAGTTTTCAGCATATTGCTATCAATTTGCTAAAAATTGCGTCGCCTGAGTTGCCATTTTTTTTTAGGAATTCGGCTTCCGATTTTGCTTATGATATTGGCGGTAATGTATACCATAAACGATTGTGCGCAACTAGAAAGAAACAATTTCTTTCTTCTGCTTTATAGGTTTTATAGGTTTTATAGGTTAAGACAATCACACTGCAATATGATGAAAATTATTTCCACATAAAACGAATTTCCTAGCAATCTGACAGCAATATGAATGAAACTGCAGTAAATAAAGTTAATCCCTAACAATACTTGACAGGTGTAGGTTACTATATATATATATATATATAAACAGAGGGTGTCCCATTTTAACATTGACATCGAAATATCTCGAAAATTATAAAAGATACGGAAAAATGTTTCAGACAAAAGTTGTAAGGTTTAAAAAGGTCTATTTACTGATCATATCCGTTTGACATTGGGTGGTGTTATCAAGATCAGGACGAGGTCACTTTAAATTTTTTAAATAGAACCTATAGATTTTTTTTATTGCATCATAGTCCTTTCTGACACCTTTCCAAAACACTATAATTTAATTCACTTTGGGTTAGCCATTTTGTAATCGAGATTTATTCGGTATAAGCAATCCTTTAACACGTCGCCTTTAACAATCGCATAAAGTTTCGATTGCCTCCATTGCACACGCTGTGTATTGTCAGC